TTTCTGCCTTCCTCCTATGTTATCCATTAAAATGCAACACAAAACAGTGTACATTTCATTCTATCCCTTTGAGGGTTGCATAAGCAGTTCCAAGTCATATCAGATACTGTATTGCTATTATTATTGTAAAATAAATATTTTAGAGTTTAAAGGCTAGATATTTCATTTTTTCTTAGTAGGCTCACTGCCACTATTATGAACTTTTTATATCTTCATTCAAGGTAACTCTTTGTAGTATACTGTTTTAATACAAACAACTTGTGTCCCAAGGCAGATTATTCTGTGGCCAAAAAAATCAATACATTACTGTCTGATTTTAGTAGCAAATATACAGAATTCCTCATATACAAAGATTTCTAAGAAACTTAGAAGATAGTGGATGTTGATCTGTTTAACTGGTTAATATTAAACTATCTTTATTATCAGCCAACTACTAACTTGCATAAATGGAAATAAAAGGTTTCAAGTAAACAAACTGCTTTTAATCCTTCACTATAACACCTTAGATTCACATTTTTGCTCTTTTTGTTTTTTTCTTTAAGTCATATCTTAATCAGATACTGGTCTAGATTCCTTAAATAAACATGGGAATTTAAAAGCAAGCCAGTATCTTAAATAACACTTCCTTTACTCAGCTTCGCCCATTTTTTTTGGCAAAATAAGAATTCAACAAGTTTCTTATGTACTTGCCTAAGAAGTTAAGAGACTAATTATATTAACTGATTTATTAATAAATGGGTTTCTTTGTCCAATTTTTGTAAGTATTAACAGACTGAAGAACAACTTTGTGTCTAATGTGCCTTGAAACCTTTTTTTAAAGTTAATTACATTTATAAGTAAAGTCACTATAGATATGACCCTTAAGTTTCACACAGGAAGATTAAAAAAAAAAAGATTACCTCATTGGCTAGCTCCAATAATACAGGGGCAGCTGCATTTTTCATCACCCTACTCCGGTACCTAGACAAGACAAAGCTAGGTAAATTCTGCAGTGGCAAGAAGAGGCCTGCTTAGGCATGTTATTATCTAGTATCTCATGTCTCTCTCTCTCGGGCAAATGTTACATACAACCTGGCTACAATACACTACTGTGATAAGAAATTTTCTGAAATTAGGTATTTTAAGATAACCAGAGTACTTTCTGCACAGCTGTAAGATATATCATTTTCAATTAAGTAACTATTAAAAAAAACACAATAAACAAATCAAGAAAACTACCTTTCAAAATCATATTGCCATTATGCCATAAAAATCAAATTATATCTGCATTATTTAAGGATGCAGACCAGACAACAGATCTCTATTATTCAAAACGAAGATTTTGAGCTCAAAATAGACTTCAAATACAGAGGCATGAATCACTGCATATCTTACACAATGCACTACTGGACACAAAGATACAAATATGCACATTTTTACCAGACAGACAGTATAGCCTTATTCTTTGAAATAAGCTTTCAGTATTAAGTATCCAACAAGCAAATATATACTATAAAAAAGAAAGTTAAAAGAATGCTTGTAGCAAGGATTGGACTATATAGAATGTTAGAGAGAGCGAAAGAAGGGCACTGACAGAACAATGACTGAGGTTTAACTTTTCCAATTTAGGCTTTAAAGCCAGTACAAATGCTAAGTGAAATTTCTTCCCTTGAGTATATTTCTTATATGTTTACACTGCAATAGTGTAGAGGACTCTTCCAAGATTTGGTAAGGACAATTTAGATTACTGGCTGTCAAGTAACAGGGTCAAATTGTGCTTGTTGGCCATCCTGAAAAAGATGGAAGTAGGATAGGAATATAGGAACAAAGAAACAAAAAAATGCAACAATAGCATCCAACCTCTTCAAAAACAGAAATATATTCATTCTGCCATACCTGCTTCCAGTAGCACATTTAAGACTGTTATATAAACTGGTAAAATCAACCACCTCACTCAACAAATAAAATATATGGCCAACGAAAGCAGGAAAGTGGTTTCTAGTCAATGATAGAGATGAGAAATCTGAGATCCATTGAGGACTCCAGTGACAACCTGCTGTAACTATCAGTAGATCAAAACTTACCTGCGTGTTAATTTAACTGTGACAACATTTACATACAACTGCTCACAAAAGTATTGTGGGATGAGATGTTTATAAAAGGTTTTGAAGTTCAAAGATAACAGTCACAATAGAAATCCAAATTGGGGGAGGAAAGGGGTCGGGATGAACATTTTCAATTTTATGAATGCCAAGAGAAAAAAAATCCCTCGCAAACATGTAAGCCTGTAAACTCTTGGTAGAACAAGTTATTCTTTCAAACAAACTGTCAGATCAGTGGGACTTGCTCAATAAAGATATAATGCAACATCCAGGTGGATATTTCTATTGTCGGCTTTGTCCGTTTCTATCTATTGCAGGCCAAAAGCATCTTCTAGCCCTTGTGCCTGTTCTATTATGAACTAGCTTCCTGTGCCTGAAGGCATATTCTGACCTGCAATGAACTGGCTCAGGGTGCTGAAAAGCTTTTTGGTTGCTTTAGAAGAGTGCGGGACAACCATTTCAGAATGCAAATTAGCCCTGTACCTTCCCCAAGTACTACTCTGATTCCCTTTTCCCTGCCCAATCTGCAGATCTGCTTCGTTTCCTGCCTGCTTTTTGCAACTGTGCTGCCTATGTGCCTGATGTGGCATGTGACACAAACACGCTGCCAATGGCAGACTGGTCACTCTGTTCTAAGGGATGGTCTCTAGTTTTGCCTTCATCAAAAAGAAAAAGATGTTCTTTAAAGTGGACCCCAACACTCCTCGCAACACTATATCCTGTTTCCAGTAGGCAAAAGCAAAAAAATCACTAGGGACCAATGGCAGCAAATATTTCTAAGGGATTGATGCATTTTAGAGACTAATCACAGACTTTCTGTAAGACAAGAGGAGGGATTCAGGGTAATACTGGGAAGTGGGGAGGAATTTCGCCTAGGTGTGAGGCAGGCAAGTTGGAGTGATAGGCAGGTCGGAGGGAGAGGAGGTGTTCACACTTAGATGTGAAAGAAGGTTGGGAAGCACAGCTGGGATGGGTTGGAGTAATAGGCAGGAAACCCGGAGTGGGTGGGATGAGGTGGACTTTTGAAGTTTTAGGGTGTCACTTGGAAAAGTGGTAGTTTCTTATCTTGTGGGTTACTTATCTGTTATTGTAAGCGGTTCTGAGCCCCTCTGGATAAAGTGACAACTATATTTAAATGATGACGAGAACAACCACCACCACCAGTTAGAGGTTATGTTTTCTCCCCTGCTATTGGAAGAGGGGTACAATACAATTATCTGCCTGCCTTCTCTAGATGGCAGTAGGGAGAAGCAAACAAACTGGTTTCTGCCAGTATAGTACAGCATTTTGGTCCCGTGGGCATAATCTAAACTGTGGGGCTTCCTATCGGCTGGACAATCCACAAACTGTGGTGGCATTAACTCCTGTGGCTGCTGGACCCACAATTTCAGCACAGCTCTAGAACCTAGGAGCTAATATAACATCACTGTCACTTACTTTCCCTTTTCCCCTACTGATGATTTTGGTCACTGGAGGTGCCTATCCACTTTTCATTACCCCACCCTCCAATTCTGATGGCAGGTAAAGGGGAAGGGAGAGGGAGGAGTGGCATTAACTTCCTAGGCAGTAACAATATTTTTACACCATTTCTTCCATCAACATAGCTAAGCTTCATACATAAACATTTGTTATACACAGCCATTCTACTTGGACTGTACAAAACACAGATGTGGAGACTGGGCTAAATCCTGCTTATTTAACGCAAATTAGTCTAGCGCCAACAGTTATTTTGATACTAATAAAACTACTGTCTTGTGTGAGATGACAAAGTTTTTCTAGGTTTTCTGCTCCAATAGGTATATATAATTTAAACAGACCAGCACTATTGTGCAGGGTGGGTGTCCTGATGATACATTTGTATAAAGATTACTGTAGGTATTTTAAATATGTTTGGAGAAGTGTTATAGATTAAATAGTTTCAGTTTATGCAATGTTACTGAAATTATAATGAAAATTAATTTGAAGAGTATCACATGGAAATAGAGTTGAATGAGACATTTTTAGCTAATATTCTTCCTAAACCATAGGGAAAGGCTAAGTCAGACCCAATATAATTGTTAGGAGCCAGAACAATTATTTTAAAGCAGAAATAGTATAGTATAATGCATTAGGTTTTCTACCTTGATGTCCAATATAATTAACTGTCCTTAGTTCTAAATGTGTGACTCAACGGAAACACTGAGACTAGCTAATTGTTTACAAGTGAAATCTTTCTGTTTAGTTTACCCATTCACAAAGATAATATTAAAGCATAAGTATCAAACATCTATAATCACAAGGATTATCTTGCTTCCTATGCAAGCTCTTCAGATATGTCAGTCTACACAGTAATATTTTAATTGCACATCTCTACCAGTTATCAGTATGCCCCAATTATGTCACAGATGTCTACAGAAGTCAATGGAACTAAAAAAACCTGTAAGATATAAAATTACAATTTATTAACTAAAGATGCAATTGTAAAATTTTGTAAAAATGACATATGAAGACTTCTCATTCCTCCTTAAAAGATGTTTCTGACACTTTTGCTGCTAAAACAGAAGTGAACTAAAATTAATCCTGGACTTGGTAAATACATTAATTTAATATACCACTTTAAAGATCATAACCTCTAGTTTAATTTATAGAAATAATTACAATGGAGCAGGCCCCTAAATTTGAGTAGTTTTAACTATTTCCAGTATCAATCTTGGCAAAACAGACTATCATCACTTTTAGCATATGTATTACATAACACTATCCTACACGTTTTAAGAAATACAAGCTTGGCATCATGTATTTTAGCCTAAAAGATGCTGAAAACTTTCTGACAATATTTTCACTGAAAATATTTTTAGGTACTTCCAATTTCCTCATTCCAACCTGCTAATTTATTAGGAATTAAATTATCCCAATAAACTAATTTACTCATCATTATCATTACAATTAGTAGATATGAGGATACTGTCTAGTGGAGTGGGTAGGTCATACCTTTGATAGTAAGTTTCAATAGCCTCAGCAGTGTGATGTTTGGCATGTGTTCTTTTGATTTGTTTCTGACAAGGAGAAAAAACAACAAACAAAGAAGACTTTTATGATGTGTTACAGAGCACATGCAGAAAGCATAAATGTCCGAGTGCAGGCTTATTGGCCATATTTTAAGCTTATAAGGAATACTATTATATTTTTACAATTTAAAAATTATTTTAAATCTACTGAATGGAATGTCTTCAGACTGTACTGCAATGTACTATATATGTAAAAGGCAGTAAGGTCATAGTAATTGAATCTAAATAAGTTTGCTGAGGGCTGCAGAGGGCAAAGAAAAACTTGTTCTCTCTTTCAACCTTTGTATTAATTTTCCCTCAATTCAATTCCATCTAAGTCCTCTGCACTCTAGTTTTACAATTCAATTGGCATTTTTAACCAGGAAGAACATTGCTTAAAAACAACTTATTTGAAAAACTACAAAAAGTAATTCCATAGAGACTTGCCACTTGACTGACACCTGTCATCTCATGATAAATGACTCCATTTTCTGCCTCTCTTGCCTTCTGCCACTCCGGCAATGGTCATTTATCATCATCTCTGTCAGCAATGGAAAGCAGCACTGACAGTGCAAGTCAGCAAACATTTAGCACATGGAACCACGCAACACAGGGAAATTATTATTGTCAGAATAATAATGGTTTAGCATAATTTATTACAGGTCCACCAAATAAGCAAAGGCTAGATGTTATTAGACAGATGGATGGGTAGGCTTGGCAGCCATCCACTGAGACTCAGGCGGTGCTTGATGTGGAAAAGGGAACATCCTCCAAACCAATCAGAAAGCTGGCAGTTCAATTACAAAGAAATAAAGGGACATTCATCATTCAATTAGGCACCTGTCAACCCTCACAAAGGAGAAAACTTCTAACCTGGTACTCCTGGGAGAAGATGCTCAGCAGAGTGGACTGCGATTGACTGGAACAAATAAAAGAAGGACAAAGTTAATTACTGGAGTGCACTGCAAAGAAACAAAAGAGAAGGGAGCTTCAAAGGTAGGCCTGCTGCCCTGTAATCTAACAGAACATGAAAACAAGTGTGGAAAAGTTGTTCCAGATGAACACCTCAGACAAAGGCTTCCTGCTGCTAGGTCAAGGAGAGAGCGTGAGGGAGGGGAGGAAAATATAGCAAGAGTTTCAAAGCAAACTAGCATATTGTTTGGGCGATTCTTTTTCAGTTTCAGAACCCACAAAGTCATATCAGTAGCATGTACTGGAGTTAAAAGGGAAGAGGTGGAAGGAAAACAAAGCAAATTTCCATTAATAATTGATGGAGTTAAATTCCATTAGCAGTTGGGAACATGCCGCTTTTTCACTGGCAACATATTGAAATTCATTTTGTTAGCAGCAAGGGAACCTCTTCAGTAGCTGTCTCATATTCAGGGTAGAAACTTAGCTCTCTGTCAGAAGTAGCATATGGGACCACTGGAACATTCCCACTGAAACTGATGTGCTTTGAAAATAGAAACTTTCACAGCAGGAAGCTAAGATTCCCCTGAGTCGGTCATTTCCAAAGGCTACCATAAGCTTCATTCATCTAAGGCTCCACTCAATGTCAAACACCTGGCAATGAAGCAACCTGGAAAACATTCTTCCCAAGTGGGAATTTTTCTCTCTGAATTGTTAACATTTAGAAATGGGACAAGACTTTTTCCTCTAAAAGGCAATCAATACCACACTGCTACTGTTTTCAATTGTCCTCTGTGGATATATATACCCCATCACATCTTGAATACAATTAATTACTCCTGATATATTTTCCTACCAGATGCAACTTGAACAAATTACCGTTTCAATAAATCGACTTTTATAGTACAGCAAAGCACTATGAATAATTAACATTTTCCCTTTCATGAATGCACCTACGGCATATCATAGGTAGTTTAGATATTCCACAAAGACAGAAAACCTACTCTTCTATTAGCTAACTCGTGCCAAGAACTAGATGTGAATTTCACACAAGCACTATTTACACTACTGTTCCTGACACAGTAGAAGCTTAACTGTTTTATCTGGGTACTTGTAAGGACCTGTTACTTGGGCTATGGAAGTACTTTACAAGTAGGTTTTGGTAAGGAAGCATCACTGCCATTTTGCAAAAGGAGAACTGAGGCAAAAAAAATACATGACTTGTCTGAGTTTCCCAAAAAGCCTGCAACAGAGCCATGAGTTGAGCTCACAGGTCTCAAGTCACAATATAGTGTTTTTACTACAATAACATCCTTCATTATCCTGCCTAAATTACATGATTGTATTTAAAATGTTTATGTTGTAGAAGGATATTAGCTATCTTCCTAACATACAGATTTGCAGAATACTCTTCACGGATTATAAAAAATGTACAAAATTACAATATAGTCAAATAATACAGATAAAGACAAGTGAAATGAGATATATTAGTACTATTATTTATCTTATAGTAGAATTTGGAAGCTCCAATTAGAATTATGGTATATTATTGTGAAGTACTATACAAAAAGAAAATTACAGTCCATGCTCTAATGGTGTAACGTCCAATGATGACAAGACTCAAAATGTGTGTGCAACAATCCAAAGGGAGAACAAAAAGAAAAATAAGAATTAAGCTCTCACAGGAAGAATTGTGCATTAATAAATAGACCGTGTGTGTACAAAATGAGGTTATTTTGAATTGCTGAACTTAAAGTACAAGATATAAATTAAAAAAGATACAAATGCCCTGCAATAGCTTTCCACACTATTAATGTACAGTATCTGGCTTTACATAGTTATAAATGTAGAAGTAGGTCTTGATGAGAAATTTTAAAAATAAGATCCTATTTACCTGGATTATTTCAGGGATGGTATTTCATTAGCACAGAATAAATATAAAAAGGAGGAACGTTCCTGTAGGAGAAGCAGACAGACAGTTGAAGAAGTTGGGGAGAAACATAAAATCAGATAAGCAAACGATGTAAGATCAGGGAAGGTTGGTAGGTGAACATGGTTAGAACAGGACAGGTTGATCATCTTAGCAGCAGCATCTTGAATGGACGTAAGGGAGAGATGGATATCAGGAAGGTTAGTGAGAAGCTTACAGTAGTCAAGGTGGAAGAATAAGGGCCTGCACATGATTTATACTGTTACAGATAAAGAGTGTGTGAAGAAGGGATCTTAGGGATGTTATGAAAAGAATTAGGAAGAAAGGTTACACATGACATGAATGTGCTGAGCTCCAAAGTGCAAAATCAAACATGACTCATGAGGCAAGAGACCTTGCAAGAGAGACTATGCAACAGGCAGCCATCGATCCTCTGGATCATGGTGCACACGTAAGAGGTCTATGACAATCGCACCAAGACCTTTGATTCATATGCCTAGGCAAGAGTATGAAGGAGTGGAGGCTGCCCCCAAAATCTACCATTCCTCCAACTAGGCAATTTAAACTGTATTAATTAACATGTATATATGGCAAAACTTTTAGGAAAAACAGTCTTTAGGAACTTGGCAGACAAGCATTGCAAATGTTAGGGATGCACTGATAGAGATTTTTTGGGCCAATACTGATGGCCGATTATTAACGAGCCATAACAGCTGTTATTGATCCGATTGCTGATATGCAAGCCTGGCAGCTCAGAGAGCAGTGTCCGGCTGGTAAGTCTGTGGAGTGAAAGGGGGAGGGAGCAGACTGAGGCCCCCAGAGTGATGGAGGAAGTGCGGCTGGAGCTGGGGTAGGGGCAGAAGCTGCACAACTGGGGAGGGATGGGGCATGGGACACAGCCACAAGCAGCTTGTCCGGGAGGGGACGGGGAGGGAGGGTTGGCTCTTACCACTGCACGCACCCCAGGGGAGGCATGGGGAACATGTGCCGCCCAGATCTACATGTGGGGTGAGGGCGGGCTGCCACTGCAGTCTGGGTGAGAGTGACGCCGGGCTCTTCGCAGCAGGGGGGTTGGGTTGGGGCTGTGCTTAGGGTGGGCAGTGGCGACATTGGGAGGGCAGTGGCGATGTTGGGAGGGGAGAGGAGTGCTATGGTGAATTTTGGGGTGGCTGTAGCCAGAGATGATCCTAGCAGGGTCCAGGGCAAATGAGCCTGTGCAGGGCTCAGACAAGAGGAAGCCGGTGGCTGCAGGGGGAGAGGGGGGTGTGGTGAGTGGTTGGACGTTAAGCCAGAGGCATGGAATCACCAGAGCTAGGTGGGCCTGCAGGAGGGGCTGCAGCCTCTCTGCCTGGCTCTGCAGGGCCCCCCAAAGCACAGAGTCCAGGTGGTCGTCCCTATTCACCCCCCACCCCCGAGGGACAGCCCTGGTCCCTTCCCAACATTGCCGCTGCCCGTCCCAAGTGCAACCCCAGCCCAAGCCCTCTGCCAGTAAGAGCTTGGTGCTGCTACCAGCCCATAGCAGCAGCCTGCTCTTACCCCATGCACAGATCTGAGGGGCACGTGCCTCCCCATGCCTGCCTCCCCTGGGGTGCATGCAGTGGCAGGGTCCCCCCGTTTCCCTGCCCCACCAAAGGAGCCACTCGCAGCTCCATCCTGTGCCCTGTCTCAGGTGTGCAGCACCTGCCCCCTGCCCCAGCCCACTTCCTTCCTCACCATGGGGGCCTCAATCTGCACCCCCCTTGCCCCTTCCCTTGCCCATGCCCCTTCCTGCCCCTCCTTCCCCAGACTTACCAGCTGGACACTGCTCTCTAAGCTGCTGGGCTGCACTCCTGGCCATGTGCATCCTGTGACTGTGCCCATGCACATGACATTTACTGGTGACATTATCGGCCACACCACCCAAAAAAGCCAACTGCTGATAATATTAATATCCCTTTTATCGATGCCAATACGATATGGACTGATATCAGTGCACCTCCAGCAAATATCAATCCCTGCAAGGGAAACTCAACTGGGTTTCTGCAACACAACAGAGGTCATCAGGCACAAAGTAACACTTTTACAAAGTGAAACGTGCCAACACCACCTCACCATGACTAAGTATGAGTATCCTAATTAAGCCCCCAGCCCTGCCCAAGCGCACAGGCTACTGGTCTGTCAACAATGGGGCAAAGCCCCTGGGCGCCACTCTCCCCCCTCACATACCACGTTGGCCGAGATGGTCATCAACACTCAGGTCAGTTACACCCATTACCGCTTCTGGAACAGCACTTTAAAAATTGTCAGCAGGTTTGCAAATGCATCAGTGCTTAAACAGGTTTATTATTGCCTCCTATTTATTTCCAACCGCAAATGCTAAGCACATAAGCCCATACACGGAGGCTGCGAATTGGATCTGTTAAGGAGCTGATGATCAGTGATTAACTCTTAATTCAAATTTAAAGTTGATTTGAACTGTGTGATGCAAATCAGTTAACAGAGTTTAGAAAATCATGAGCATATCTACAAACAGCCATAGAGATTATGTATCTGACAGTGCAAAGAGTATATCTTCCACAACAGAGACAGGAAAGATAGGTGAGTAGGACAAAGAGTTAAGCTTTTATTTTTCTAGGTTTAAATTGATAAATCCTTCCTATTTCTTTTAAAAAGAAAAGACAGTGACAAGTTTTAATATACAAATACATTAGCTTTCACTGGTTTTAATTAAAACAGATGGAAGGGGAAGAAGAATATGGCCTCAAGTAAGTAAAAAATGCTGTGAGGAAGCCTTAAATCAACCGAAAATTTAAATTTTAGTAACAAATTTGTTATTTTATTAACCCCAACGACACATTAAAACAGCTGAAATTTGTGGATTTTTTACATTTTACTTAAATTCACATAATTTAAGCATGTTCATTTTGTGTACCTTGACTATATACTCAGCATATTGTAATCATATTCCATGCATTAGTGATTGTGTATCACCTCCAACAGTCTACGGCAAGTTCCCTCCCATCCACATCACTTTAATTACTATACTCTGTTGTGATAGAATAAAGATTTAAAGCAATCAGTTATAAATTAAGA